TAATAGATTTTGCTCATCTATTAGATGCAAAATATTACCCCAATGGTCTGAGTCATATAGGAAGTTTTTGAAAAGAGAAATCGATGTGTTCATTTTATTTATCATTACAGAAACAAGCAACAGGTAACAAAACGAATTAAAATTAGATGAAATCTCATTCCATCTCCTTTTTTGGTATAAAACTCCATTTCGAAAAAATCTCTAAGATGGAGGACCATAAAGACCACTGCCTGAGCCCCTTCCGCTACCCCCATTACCGCCAAAAGCACCGGCGCCAATTCCATGACCACCAGCACCTCCACTTCCGCTGCCACCAAATCCACCTCCAAATCCTCCAGCACCCCCGGAACCGCCTCCAAATCCTCCATCCGCGCCACCGCCGCCTCCAAATCCTCCGCCACCGGACCGCCTCCAAATCCTCCAGCGCCACCGGAACCGCCTCCAAATCCTCCAGCACCCCGCCTCCAAATCCTCCTCCAAGTCCTCCGGCGCCACCGCCGATTCCTCCCCAACACCTCCGGAGCCTCCGATAACCTGACCGCCGGCTTCAGCAGCTGCCTGAAGTGCAGTCTGAAGATCCACTCCAATAGGAAGAGTGGGATTTTCTCCCTCTTCGTAGTTGACGAAATATACCTCAGGATTTGAAGGAGGTGCAACTGTCACCTCGATCACGCGCTGGCCTCCGTCACCTCCGCTCTTGTTTAGAACGTAGACAATGTTTTCCTGTTTTGGTGGTGGAACAATGATGGGTTCGGGTCCTGGGCCTTCTTCAGGAATGCGTACGAACAGGATATTGTGATCCACCCTCGGCGGTGGAATACTTGGTGGAGGTCCACTTTCCCCTTGAGGCTGTTCGGGAGCATCGTAAACGAACACATTTCTTGTAACGATGGGAACGACGCACGATCCGTCTACGTGTAGGATCTCTCCTTCTCTGCAGGCTCCCCCGGAACCTCCGCCCCCATAACCTTGTCCAGATGAAGACCCTCCACCGGCGGAGAATGCACTTCCTCCATTGGCGGAAAATCCACCTCCACCGCCGGAGATTCCACTTCCTCCACTGGCGGAAAATCCACCTCCACCGCCGGAAATTCCACTTCCTCCGGAGAATCCTCTGCCTCCGCCACTGGAGGAACCTCCTCCTCCTTGAACACCATGAGAAAATCTACTTCCAGAAGGCGCTGCTAGATTATATCCTTGAGGAGCAGCGACACACGTTGCAAGCAGAGCCAAGGAAATGACCTGTAGAGAGGAATGTTTTCTTAAAGTCATACCGAAAAATCACTCATTTGTAATGTAAAGATACCCATTTGGAAATGAATTGACCCTCTATCGAATACCATCTCTATATGGGTCTGTGTTCTTGCTGAATTTCATAAACTAAATTAAGAAAAATCCCTCAGTTGTAATGTAAAGTTACCCATTTGAAAATAAATTGACCCTCTACTGAATACTACCTCTATATGTGTGTGCATTCTTGCTGGATTTCATAAACTAAATTAAGTAAGAAATCTGTAGCAATACATCTAATGCACCCAATTACCAGATGCCGAGAGAGAAGCACTTACTAAGAACTTCATGGTGGAGGAATATACTGACCTGAAGTGCACATCACCTTATATACTTCCAGTTTCTCCACTCTGCGAAATCCCTTTCTCCTATTTCAGACTTTCATGCCTACGTATGAAAATGCGGTTGCTAAGAAAGATTATGCCCTAAAAAGTCTAGCATCCACTTGACAAAAGGTCGCAAAGATCTACACACATGCACATAGGTATCTGTATGTGATGGAACATGTGCATCTTACAGGTGTACAGATAAGAATTGTAAAGGTGAAAATCGAATTGATAAGTGACGGGAAATTAACAAGGTGCTCGTCGTAGATACGTCCCAAGAGTTTCAATCATAGAAGTAATATATGATAAAATATTTAACTACACTAAAATGGAATAGTAGTCTCTTCTCTGTGATTCGTGGAACCATAGTTTAGTATTTTAGAACCAAGACATTCATTTAGTTCATCGAAACGCAATCTAGAGAATATAGAAATGCACAAAGAATTTTCTAATACAAATGCACAAATCCCTCTACAATGCTGTGATCCATAACCACCAACATGGTCAAGCGAGGTCGTCAAGCCGGGGGAATCGGAAGGATAGTGAGTTTAAGGAACTATAGGAAAGAATAACGTTATCATATATTTTTAAGAATCATTAACTTAATCTCTAAATTTTCGTACAAAAAAGGGAAAACATTTATAATAATCATCACCAATACTATTACATCACGATAATTTCAATCATCATTTCATCAACATTATTATAAAAATACTGCATATATAATCATGTTTTTATTATTGTTAATACTGCTATGTATGCTGTTGTAGGCTGTTGAATGGTACCAATAATGACGATCTGGATATTACTGTTAGGAGTAGCGACAATCATCGCACACATTACAAGCATCACTTAGTGTTATATCAAAAATATAAGTCTAATAATAATCATATATTCCAATGATCATATTAAAAAAAATATAAAAAAAATGTGTTCTCTAAACATTCTTCATACATTCTCTGTGAGATAATTCATACTTAACTCGTTTTGCAACCTAAGTGCTATGTGATTTTTTTCCTATAATACAATCATTTATCTTGATAGCTGATAATCTTATGGCATTTTTCCTTAATGAATTTAAGGGAAATCTTAAAGACAAAATCTTCACATGAAATTCAGTTTGGTGAAACAAGTCTAAAATAAAAGTAAACAATCTCTAGAATTTCTATCTTTGTTCATTGCATGACTTTGGTGACCGGACATCTTAACCTCCTTCCTGTAGCGCAGACGTCCTGGAATTGAAAGTGAAGCAGACTGACTTGTTTCGCAATGCAGGGAGTAGAAAGAAATGAGATGAAACTGATACTGATATGAGAGTAATTAAAAACTTCGATATGATTTATGCTGACACTATTATAGTAATCGATATCCCATCACACCTTACTGTAGAGTAGTGGTTTTAGCATATTTTCGTATTATTACCTCAGGTACTATTGTGATTGATCCATTGCTACTACTCTTACCCCATTCGTTTATATGTAAGAGAAGGTATTGAAAAGAGAACTTTAATAATACTTGAATTGTAATGATTTTTTTTTTTTTTTTTTTTTTTTACGTTTTTTCCCCTTTGACTCAAGAAATGCTTATTACAGTTATTCGTTTGACGGGAAAGAAAGAGACATCAATACTATAAGAGTAAATTGTAAATTATTCTATAATTTCCTTGTTCATTAACAAAATATATTCATTACTGGTACATTATCAATAAGAAGCTTTGTCTTGTCTGTTCTTATGTGAAATATGAGTGCCAAGATCGAGAGAGGACAATTCCTATCGTATATCAATATCTGGGTCTTGTTACTAGCTAAAATCAGCCTTACAAGTACATTATGAACAATAATTGATGAATTAGTTTTATAGGTATTCGTTCACTTGCTTCCCAAGGAAAATGTTATTATTTATCAGCTTACAATAAGAATTAAAAACTTGAAAAAGTTCTCGTTATCACCCAAAAATGGCTTCATTACCCCCCCCCCCAAAAAAAAAAAAAAAAAAAAAACGTTTTGAAATGACTGCTGTAGGACATAATCGCGATACTCCTCGTTTTTATTTCACTGATATGGAAGAAACATCATGATCAACATTAGTTTCTCAAGGATTTTAGACCGCTAATCAATGTCCAAACTAAAGTAGGGTAAAATTCACCAGATCTCGGGCACTCTTAAACGGACTATTCCACAAACTTATTTCAATGAAACTGGGCTTGTCTCTCATAGTAGAGCTTTTGCGATCACATTACTGAACTTAACAATGGAGAATGTTAAACCAAGGACCTTAGTGCTAAAACCGACATAAGTATTTAAACTATTGTATTTTTTCCTTGTTCACTATCAAAATATTTACATTATTGGTACATGTCTGTCCTTTGACGAAATATCAATGCCAGGAATTGAGAGAGGACATATCGAATGTCAGCGCTGATCTGCGTTCCTATCAAAACCGAAATTCGACATGAACACTGTAATAGCATCAAAGTGGGGCGATAATGTATGTGTATACTCATAGCCATTATATATGAATTCTTGTGTATGTAAATAGTAAGATATTAAATTCTAACTTCATGAAACTCGGATGTGAATATTTGTGTATGTTCAAACCAGGGATGCCCCCCCCCCCTTCCGGGTGACATTTGGTTTTCTAGTCTTAGTCACATTACTAATTAAGGCCTTCGTCATTTGAGATTATCATTAACATTCTTATATTTTCATTGCGTTTTTGTAATAATTAAAATATCCAAGATGTGTCATATTCATGGTCTGAAGGATAAGTTTGTCCCCTGGGATGATCATAAGGAGCCCTCAGGGTGATAAGAAGCATTATTAACCAGTGAAATTATGATCGCCATGAAGATAAATTATATCATACACAATTAGCTACTTACATAAAATTAGTTTTGATTACATTATGCAGGGTTGTTTTTCCTTTTTTTTTTTTTATACAAGTGCTCAAATAAATCCATAGAAATCTGTGTATAATTTCAATACTTCAAGAGTGTAATTATTGAATTTACCATATGTAAGCATTACATTGTCGAATATTAAGATCTGCAAAAGACTCTATGCAACGAGGATATGAAGTGAGTTTGCATTTCTCGGAAATAATTGATAGCGGTATGATAAGCAACAGGAAAAACAGAGTAATGTTAGAATTAATGATAATTGTATACAAACACAATTCGCTGACATAGATATTGCTCATCTATTATATACAAAATACTGCCTATACTGTTCTGAATCATATAGTAAGTTTTTTAAAACGACTGTTGATTAGTTCATTTTATTTATCATTACAGAAACAAGCAACAGGTAACAAAACGAATTAAAGTTAGATGAAATCTCATTCCATCTCCTTTTTTGGTATAAAACTCCATTTTGAAAAAGGTTTCTAAGATGGAGGACCATAAAGACCACTGCCTGAGCCCCTTCCGCTACCCCCATTACCGCCAAAAGCACCAGCGCCAATTCCATGACCACCAGCACCTCCACTTCCGCTGCCACCAAATCCACCTCCAAATCCTCCGGCGCCACCGGAACCGCCTCCAAATCCTCCAGCACCTCCGGAACCGCCTCCAAATCCTCCGGCGCCACCGGAACCGCCTCCAAATCCTCCGCCCACCGGAACCGCCTCCAAATCCACCGGAACGCCTCCAAATCCTCCAGCGCCACCGCCGATTCCTCCCCCAACACCTCCAGAGCCTCCGATAACCTGACCGCCGGCTTCAGCAGCTGCCTGGAGAGCAGTCTGAAGATCCACTCCAATAGGAAGAGTGGGATTTTCTCCCTCTTCGTAGTTGACGAAATATACCTCAGGATTTGAAGGAGGTGCAACTGTCACCTCGATCACGCGCTGGCCTCCGTCACCTCCACTCTTGTTTAGAACGTAGACAATGTTTTCCTGTTTTGGTGGTGGAACAATGATGGGTTCGGGTCCTGGGCCTTCTTCAGGAATGCGTACGAACAGGATATTGTGATCCACCCTCGGCGGTGGAATACTTGGTGGAGGTCCACTTTCCCCTTGAGGCTGTTCGGGAGCATCGTAAACGAACACATTTCTTGTAACGATGGGAACGACGCACGATCCGTCTACGTGTAGGATCTCTCCTTCTCTGCAGGCTCCCCCGGAACCTCCGCCCCCATAACCTTGTCCAGATGAAGACCCTCCACCGGCGGAGAATGCACTTCCTCCATTGGCGGAAAATCCGCCTCCACCGCCGGAGATTCCACTTCCTCCATTGGCGGAAAATCCACCACCACCGCCGGAGATTCCACTTCCTCCATTGGCGGAAAATCCACCTCCACCGCCGGAGATTCCACTTCCTCCAGAGAATCCTCTGCCTCCGCCACTGAAGGAACCTCCTCCACCTTGAACGCCATGGGAAAATCCTCTTCCGGAGGGCGCTGCTAGATCATATCCTTGAGGAGCAACGACGACACAGGTAGCGAACAAAGCCAAGGAAGTGATCTGCAGAGAAAGATGTTTATCATTATTATCAAAATGATATCGAAAATCATTAAATAGTAATGTAATGTACTTCATTTGGAAATAAATTGACAAGATAATGATCACAGTAATTTTTTTCCTTTATTGTATGCTATCTTTCTTTATATAGATGTGTTTTGTGCGTTCGTGCTGACCTTCATTATCTAGATTAAGGAATCTGTAATAATACATCTACTGTTTCTAAATACGAAATGTGAGTGCAGCACTTACTAAGAACTTCATGGTGGAAGAATGTACCGACCTGAATTGCACATCACCTTATATACTTCCAATTTCTCCGCACTGTGGAGTCCCTTTCCCCTTCTATTTCAGACTTTCATACCTGGCCATGAAAATGCGGTTGGTAAGATGATACCTCTAAAAATCTAGTATCCATTTGATCTGCACACATTCATATATTTATCTGTATATGTGATGGGACATGTGCATCTACCACGTGTACACAGATCATAAATTATTTCGTTGAAAACCGAGTGGTTAAGCGACAGGAAACAGCCAAAGCATTCATCGTAGATGAAAAAGTCGGTTCAATGAAACGATGCAAGTGCACTATAAATGTAACATACATATCTGTCTCATTGTCTCGCTTGGTGTCACTTCGACCCTTCTTGTCTTTTCCTAGTGATTCTTGTGACCATAGTTTAACATTTTACGATAAACATTTAGTTCAATACAGAGAATATGGAAATGCACAACGATTTTTTCATATGAATGCGCAAATCCGTCTATAATACTGTGTTGCATGCAGTCGAGGACATCGTGCCGGGGGTATCAGAAGGATAAGTTAAGGGAACAATAGGAAAGAATAACGTTATCATAAATGTTTAAGAATCGTTAATACCATCATTACCATATCTAAAAAAAAAAACACCGATATTATTACATCACGATCGCTTCGTCATAATCATCAATTCCTACGGTTATCATTTTGTCATTATGAAATGGAAAGAAAATATTACCTGTTGTTATCAGTTTTACCACTGCTATATAAACTGGAGTCTCGGAGGATGTTGAATGGATCAAATTATGATCTGGATATTTCAGCTATGAATGATGACAATCATATCACACACTAGAAGTATTACTTAGTATTCTATGAAAAATATCATCTGTTCAAAAGTAATTTCATATTTCAGTTATTATAATAATAATAATGAAATATTTTATTTTTCCAAAAAAAAATATATATATATATTTTTCTAATTATGTGATACTTCACACTTAACTCACCTTGGTACCTAGATGCTATATGATATTATTTCAGTAATATTTTAATTGTTGAGAATAGAATAATTAATCTTAATAACAAATAATCATATTATTTTTTCTTTATCATTTTAAAGGAAATCTTTAAGATCTTCACATGACATCTAAAATGAAAGTAAACTCTCTTGAGATTGCCTATTTTTGTTCATTGCATGACTAAAAGACGGCATCTTCCGCCTTTAGTGATCAGTCATCTTAACCTCCTTCCTGCAGCACAGACGTCCTGAATTCGAAGGTGAAGCAGACTGACTTGTTTCGCAATACAAGGAGTAAAATAAAATTAGATGAAATTGATACTCATATGCAAGTTATCAAAAACTACGATATAATTTATGCTAATACTATTATCGTAATCGATGTTCCATCACAACTATCTGTAGAGTAGTTGTTTAATATTGTCACCCCAGGCAATGTTGACATGCATCAATTGCTACTACACCAGCCCCATTCGTCTCCAAGTATATGAAGAAGGAAAGATGTAGATAAGCTTTAATAGCAACATATTGTTTATGTAATGTGTATATATATATATATATATATATATATATATATATATATATATATATATATATATATATATATACACACACACACACACACACACACACACACACCACACACACACACACACATACATACATATATATATATATATATATATATATATATATATATATATAATATATATATATATATATACATATATACATACACAAACACATACACACACACACACACACACACACACACACACACACACACACACACACACATATATATATATATAATATATATATGTATATATATATTATATATATATAATATATATATATATATATATATATATATATTATATATATATATATATATATACATAATATATATATGTATGTATGTATTACCAAAGAAATACCCGTTACAGTTATTCCTTTGACCTGAAAAAAAATCTATAAGTGCAAATCATAAATTAATGTATTATTTCTTTGTTCACTACCAAAAAATATACATTATAGGTGCATTATTGTTAAAAAAAGAGAACATTTAGTCTGTCCTTTGCCGAAATATCAATGCCAGGAATCGAGAGAGGACAGTCCGTATCAGCGCTGATCTGCGCTCCTAATAAAACCTAAATTCGACACGAGCACTCTCATAGCATCAGTGTGGGGCTTCGGCGACAATGTATTCTCATAGCCAATATATATGAATTCTTGAATATTTAAATAGTAAGATTTTAAGTTCATGAAACTCAGATGTGAAAACTGGTGTATGTTCAAAACACGGATGCCCCCCCCCACTTCCGCGTGACATTTGGTTTTCTAGTCTTATAGTTGGCCGTTTCACATGATTAATTAAGGCCTTCGTCATTTGAGATTATCATTAACACTCTTATATTTTCATTACATTTTTGTAATCATTCAAATATCCAAGATGTGTCATATTCATGGTCTGAAGGATAATTTTGTCCCCTGGGATAATCATAGGGAGCCCTCAGGGTGATAAGAAGCATTATTAACCAGTGAAATTATGATCGCCATGAAGATAAATAAATCATACACAATTAGCTACCTACATAAAATTAGTTTTGATTAAATTATGCTGGGTTGTTTTTCCTTTTTTATACAAGTGCTCAAATAAATCCATAGAAATCTGTGCATAATTTCAAAAGATCTGCAAAAAGACTCTATGCAGTGAGGATATGAAGTGAGTATGCATTTCTCGGATTTTAAATCGTGAAATAATTGATAACGGTATGATAAGTAACAGGAAAAGCAGAGTAATGGTAGAATTAATGATAATTTTATACCAGCACAATTCGCTGATATAGATATTGCTCATCTATTATATACAAAATACTGCCTATACTGTTCTGAATCATATAGTAAGTTTTTAAAAACAACTGTTGATTAGTTCATTTTATTTATCATTACAGAAACAAGCAACAGGTAACAAAACGAATTAAAATTAGATGAAATCTCATTCCATCTCCTTTTTTGGTATAAAACTCCATTTCGAAAAAAACTCTAAGATGGAGGACCATAGAGACCACTGCCTGAAGCCCTTCCGCTACCCCCATTACCGCCAAAAGCACCAGCGCCAATTCCATGACCACCAGCACCTCCACTTCCGCTGCCACCAAATCCACCTCCAAATCCTCCGGCGCCACCGGAACCGCCTCCAAATCCTCCAGCACCTCCGGAACCGCCTCCAAATCCTCCAGCGCCACCGGAACCGCCTCCAAATCCTCCGGCCCCACCGGAACCGCCTCCAAATCCTCCGGCGCCACCAGAACCGCCTCCAAGTCCTCCAGCGCCACCACCGATTCCTCCCCCAGCACCTCCGGAGCCTCCGATAACCTGACCGCCGGCTTCAGCAGCTGCCTGGAGAGCAGTCTGAAGATCCACTCCAATAGGAAGAGTGGGATTTTCTCCCTCTTCGTAGTTGACGAAATATACCTCAGGATTTGAAGGAGGTGCAACTGTCACCTCGATCACGCGCTGGCCTCCGTCACCTCCGCTCTTGTTTAGAACGTAGACAATGTTTTCCTGTTTTGGTGGTGGAACAATGATGGGTTCGGGTCCTGGGCCTTCTTCAGGAATGCGTACGAACAGGATATTGTGATCCACCCTCCGGTGGAATACTTGGTGGAGGTCCACTTTCCCCTTGAGGCTGTTCGGGAGCATCGTAAACGAAACATTTCTTGTAACGATGGGAACGACGCACGATCCGTCTACGTGTAGGATCTCTCCTTCTCTGCAGGCTCCCCCGGAACCTCCGCCCCCATAACCTTGTCCAGATGAA